GTAAAGTGAAACTGAGCTTGGCAGTATTGATTTTTGCTACTTACCTCTCCAGAGCACTTAGATATTTCTAGAGGCTTTGGTCTCTGAGTTTTTGGGAAGAGAACAGCATTCACTGATACATCAGCTGGGAGGGTTCAGCTTCTTGAAGACTTGGCTTTCCAATCCAGAGCTCATGATTTTTTTTTTTTTTGTTATGCCTGCTCAGCATTGATGCACAATGAGTTGGGATAAAGTTACAGAGTAGAAAATAGTAAGATGATGACTGAAAACATGAAGGTCTGTGTGCAGTGGAGTTTAAGAAGCTGAACTGAAATAAACCCCACATGTTTTGGGGTCAGTGCAGCCTTAACTGAGTATCTGAATAACAGGATACAGTAAATGTGTGTAGAAAATTCCATATGCAGCCTCAGGAGTCAGGGGGCAGAGGTCAGGTCAGGCTGGTGCTGTATGTATAATTCACAGGGATTTTCTCCTTACCTTTGTTCACCTCCCTTGGGTGAAAGTCTTAGGAGGTTTTTCCACTTGCAGCAGGACAGGCTGCTGTGGAGGGACACACACTCCTGTTGCTCCTAAGCAGCACTTCACGTGCAACATTGCAAGAGCTTAGTGCAGCATCCTGATGAGTAGAGTTCATTGGCTGATTGGAGACTGAGAGCAAAATGCTTAAACAATGGATTTATACGTTTTTTTCTTTTCGTTTTTTTTTTTAGTTATTTTGATTAGTAGAAAAGTGAGGATAAATAGAAGTGATATTATAAATTCCTCAGGCATATAGCAGTGGACAGATCTCTCTCTTCAGTTCAGAGAACAGAACAGGTTGGTTTTAAGACTTCATTTCATGTGAATGATAATCCAAAAACTATTTCTGAAGAAAAGCTTTTTTAAAAAAACACAAATCCTGCTCAGCCAGATTCTGAAATACAGTTGATTATACCATGGACTGGAAACACTGAATAAAACAAAAAATACAAAACTATTTTTAATCATTTAGATAAATGTTATTTCTTCTTTGCTAAATCCAACATTTGGAGTTGTTTGTTTTTTGTTTTTTCTTGGTTTATTCTTTTTTTCCTGAGTGAACGAATCCAGATTTTTTTCACTTGGACATAGTTTTATTTTTAAACAGGGCTTCCAGAAGTGCATGCGTGTGGGATTGCAGTTGGGACCAGTGGAGAGCCGTGGCACTCTGCCAGGCACTCGCCCTGTCCCTGCGATATAGATGGGTTGCCAGCGTTCTGGAGAAAAACAACCCCAAAACTTTAAACAAATTATGCATAATGGAAATAAACTTTCTTTGCCTTCCTGTAATTTGGATAGTGCACTGCCTGTGTGTTTCTGGAGGACAGAGGAAGGGGGCAGGGGAGAGGGGGGCAGGGATGCAGCTCTGTACGCCTGCAACTTGCTCTCCAGGGGAAGATGCTTTGGGAAGCCTGTGAGGAGAGGCCTGGGATGTTTCTAAGCTTGGAGCGTATTTTAACTCCCAGCCAGTCTTTCTATTAAAAGGTGAGCAGGCGAGCTACAGCCAGATGTAAGAGCGTTTATCTAGTGGTTGTTTTCTTCCATATATGGATTCGTAGGAAATTCGTGGAAAGGTACACGCCTTGTATCTGGCGTTGTCTGGGCACAGCTTTGACACCGGCTTCGGTGTCATTCACTCAGATTTTGCTGGGTTTTGGTGCTAAGTGGCAATGCCCTGAAACCAACACCTCATGGTTTTTTTTAATATAAAAAGGGCAAGCAGAGGAGACTGTGGCCTACCTCACAGAGGAAAAGGCACCGTAGCCATATCTCTCTGTTTTTTCAAGCTAGTGCTGATAAATCTTTTCTCTCACTTCTGTTGCTATGGTGTTAGTTCTGTGCAAAAACAAACCTTTGGGTGATCATGTCAAATGCAGAGTTCATTTGGAGAGAGAGATGCTGAAAGAGAAGGGAAGTAGGAGGGCTCAAATTCCAGCTGATGACAAACAATGAATCAGTGTTTGTCTCAGCAGAGGGCCATCAGAAATTTTGCACTCCGTTTTCACTGGCTTCTGCTTGGGTCTGATACTCCGCTTGAAAAGGTTTCTTTCCCCCCAGTCTTTTTTGTCCTCTGCTTTTAATTTTTTTTTTCCTTTTTCGTATATAAAAGGAAGGAGGATCTCTTCCAAATTCCGCACAGCCCAGGGGTATTTGCTTTCTGCAGTGTGACACAGAGAACTTATTCTTGCAAACAGTTTGATCCTCCAACCCACAAAATACTGGATAAAATTCTGAAGGTGTGTGTGGTTGAAATGTACCTGCTGTCCTTGCTGAGCCCATTGAAGTGGTCATTGAACCTCCTGCCGGAGAAGCTGCCCCAGTGTGCTGTCGCTCCTAGCGTTGCTTTCCTGGTGAAGGGGAAGAGCAGCAGTGTTGCAGGGGGGCATTTTAACACTTTTCGATGTGCAGAGTAGGTGTGCTTGATTTCATTCTCAAAATAAGCCAGTTGCTTTTAGCTGGCACAACTGTTGTCAAGAAGTTATCTTTCCCAGATGTCTTATGCTTCTGGAAAACACTGCTGAAAGTGCCTGGATATGCCTTGAAGGCTTATTTCCATTCTTGTGTGAAGGCTGAAAGAGAGGACTGTTTTCTGAATGTTTCTGGGCAGACTGAGCTGCAAGTGCAGGAAGAGTTTAGAGGGATAACCAATCTCAAATACTTATTTGCTTCTGTTTTCCAACTGAAAGTCATGAAAATGGATTAAATCACATTTTTTATCCTTGGCAACTGGGAGCTTTCTGACCTAGTTAAATGGACTCTTTGTTTTGCTGTTTCTTTCCAGAGATGGTAGGCAGATGAAAAAACATCAGGAGAAGAAATGTGGTCAACTGAGATTTCTTTTAAGGATGTTAACTGATTTTTCTGGACCTTGGTTTCAGAAGTAGATCATCTTCTTCCATGTCCTTAGCCAAGCTACTGTTCAGTTCAATTTGCCTTAATTTTGCAGACATTTGCGCTTGCCCTTGGTCTTTGGGCTGCACTACTTCTGGGAATAAAAATCTAAGTGCCAGGACAGCCAGACCTTCTGTGGACTGTCTCACCCAGCCACAGCTTCCCCATCACCCAGCATCCACAAGTCTGTCTTATCTTTACCCTTGCATCACCTGTGGGTATAGAGAGCCTGCCCCTCACCTGCAAGCAGTGCCTCTGGTAGTCTCCTCAGTAGACAGGTGCACAGCATGTTGTATTAGCATCTATTTTGGTCCTTCAAAGATGGTACTAAAGCCTCAACCTGTAGCTGTTAGCAGGAGCGTGTAGTAACAGGCAAGCAAAAGTGGTCTCTCTTGTGAAGAGATGGCAACCTTTTGGTTTGCTTTTGTGTCGTAGGTGACTTCACTTATTCTGCTCAGGTAAGCCTAGCTCAGGTAAGAGTGCTTACACAAGAAAAACAATTCAGCTACATGGATCAGTTAGACTGGTAACTAGCAAATTATTATAAGGCTGCTAGATCTCTGCAGTTTTAGTTTTGTTGGTGTTTGAGCTCCAGCCATCTTGTCTTATTACTACCTTCCTTAAAGCACTGCTTAATTCAAAGCGGGGCCATTTCTGTAGGGTGGAAAATTTTATGAGGAATAAAACTCAGGCTAATGAGATAGTGAAGACCAGGCCTCTATTGAAGCAGAGCGTCAGCAGCCTTTGGCCAGCCCTCCTCTCCCTCCTGCCAGAGTTGAATAAGAGACAGCAGCAACAGAAAGGAGCATGCATGTAAAATCAGATGCTAACTTTATTTTAGTGAGCACACATCTGTCTGTCATTTTAAAGATGTTCCTGGTTTGGAGTTTACAAGGTCAGATTACCACTGATGCAGTAGATCTCACAATTGGTCAAAGAACAGTGCTTGTTAATGTGGCAGCTTTTGTGTTGTGGGCCCATAGCACAAAACTGTTCTGGTACTTATACTGTACAAATGCTCAAACCTGGTAAGTAGCTTGGTGGAATCATTAAGTTTGGCAGGGACCGCAGGAGTCCATAATGCATCATCTTGATCAAAGCAGATTAAGTTGCTTAGGGCTTTGTTCAGTCATGTCTTGAAAACCTTGAAGGAGATCCTACAGTCTCTGTGGGACTCTGTGCTGCAACCAGACTGTCCTTGTGATGGAATTTCTTTCCTGATTTATTTGGAATCCCCACAGTTTGGGTTTATGTCCTGATAAATCTAAGCCCTCACAGTGACATTAACCAGCTTTCTTGGTACCCTTGCATGTATCCCATCGGGTCCAGTAGCCTTCTTTGCATTAAAATTTCCTCAAGAGACCCCTAACTCAATCATTTTCGAGTACAGGCGGTACCTCTGCTCCTTGAATTCTGTCTCTGCACCGAGGACTAAGCCCTATGACATATCACCACCGCTTTCATGCTTGCCCGTGCTGTGTGGAGCAGAGTTCCTGCACACCCCACCCCAAGTCTTTGTCCCCTATCCAGCTAAGTGCCAGGGTCTGCTAGCAGGGAGTGCTCTGGGAGCTGCATTCCTCCTTACCAGCTAAGTAGCTGTCCCTGCAGCAGATAAATTTGCAAAGATTGTGAGGCCCTTGCTTTTGCGTTGCCTGTGTAACTGTCCTGGATGCTGTTTTGTGGAATCTCAGAAGGCGAAGGGCACAGCAGGCATTCCTTTTATTAGTGGTGATAATCTTTGTTGGCTCGTTCCTTTTGCTTGTATGTGTAAGTGCTGGGAAAGAGAACTGAAGAGGAAAAGGTTGGCTTACGATGGAGAAGGACAGAAAGGTGTTTGGATGAAGGGTGCTTGCCAATGACTTCATTCCATTTTCATGGGATTAGATCTGTGCTGCTGAGAAACAAATGTCTGAATCAAGTTTTCTGACGTTCAGTGAAATGTAAATTCCCAGGGATTTGGGTAACATACCAAAATAAAGGCAGCGTGTAAAATAAATGCCCTCCATGCAGCAGCAACACTGCATGCTTGCAGGGACAAGAACCTCAGATCCTCCGTATATTAATAAAATGTTTCCCTCTGTTTTCTTCAGCTTGACCTCACCAAACCCATTGAAGATCAGGGCCCTTTGGATGTGATCATACATAAACTGACAGATGTCATCCTTGAAGCAGACCAGAATGACAGCCAGTCACTGGAGTTGGTTCACAGGTTCCAGGTAAGTGGTCTTTCATAGTCCTTCTGCATTTCAAGCAGGAGGATGATTTTGGTGCAGGTAATTCAATCTATTTCCTGTCCAGGTGGTAGGATTTGATGGAAAGAGTTCCCTGGCACACTGCTGTCCTGCTATTGATAGCTGAGCAAAAACAGTTTTGTCTAAAATGAGTTCGCACCTTTGGGTAACTTTTACATTGTATTTGTGAGGTTAGTGAGCACTGGTTTCCACCCAGTTGTTGTTCTGATGTCATTCCACAGGTGCGATTCACAAAGAGGAACAGGTGTTTGCAGAGTCCTTTACATGCATCTCTCCACAACTGAAGCCACTAAATTAGGTTGGCCCAGTTCTGTCTAGTCTTCCCAGTTCCTGGAATGCTAATTTCTGTAACATCAAGGTTACTGTGAGTGATTCTGTCCTCTAATGCTGAGAATCCTGGGTTTGTCTTTTTTTTTTCCCCCTCAGGTTTACATTGAAGGTCAGAAACATGCAGGGCACAGTAGTACGGAGAACTGTTTTTCCTGAGAATTCCTATCAGTAGTCTGAATGCTGATGAGAATGATAAAGCAATACCTTTGTCATTTGTAAAAGACGTTGCTTCTGGTGGATGTATGTGAAGAAGCAAAATTAAAACAATATTTTCAGAATTTTGTGGAATATGCTTATGTCAAAGAGAAAAATGGCTCAGGCAAATTCTGCAACTTTGCTTTCTTGGGAAATGATGTTCTCTTTGTTCTGCCTAATATTCTATTCTGCCTAATATTCTACAACTAGTAATACAGAAAATATTTCAACTGATGGAGAAGATATTCTCTTTGTTCTGGTTACAGAGCTTTTCTCCTTCCTCCCACTTGTGTATTACTCAAACACACACAGGACATGAAAAGGTTTGACTTGTGGGTCTGTCCCTCTGGAACCACTTCTCTACATAGTAGATGACTGTTCATCACTAAGTCATGCAAGCTTCCACTTCCCACAGCGCTGGAAACTTGGAAATGTCCAAGGAAGCATGTGGAGAGATGGACTTGAGAGGCTTTCTGCTTGCAGTTTTTCCCGGTTTCAGATGTTACTAGTTTACCTTCACAATACACCCATCCTGTTGATGGGGAAAGCTGATGACTAAAGAGGCAAAAGGTCTAGATGACCGAGTAGTGAGGTGGGTTGGTAACTGTTTGTAGGAAAGGAGTCAGAGGGTTATGGTCAATGGGGCAGAGTCTGGCTGGAGGCCTGTGTCTAGTGGAGTCCCTCAGGGGTCAGTTCTGGGGCCAGTGCTGTTCAGTACATTCATCAGTGACCTGGATGAGGGATTAGAGAGCACTGTCAGCAAGTTTGCTGATGACACAAAACTGGGAGGAGTGGCTGACACACCAGAAGGCTGTGCTGCCATTCAGAGAGACCTAGACAGGCTAGAGGGCTGGGTGGGGAGAAATCTTACGGAATTCAACAAGGGCAAGTGTAGAGTTTTGTACCTGGAAAAGAATAACCCCATGTGCCAGTGTAGGTTGGGGACTGACCTGCTGGAGAGCAGCGCAGGGGAAAGGGACCTATTATAACCTTCACTAGCGCTGGCAAATCACACTTTGAGAAATAGCTGTATTCAAATCCCACGTACTGTGGTATGTGGCGCTGGGAGCCCTCCAGCTTGATGGCAGCTGCCACCTATCAGTGTACGTGTCTCCCTGTCATTTCTCAATTGACAGACTCGCCTGTCAGGTTATGCCCTTGATCAAAGTTGGAAGGCAGTGCATTGTGCTTCTCTTTCACCACATTTGCTGTTTTCCAAGATGTGAGTATGTCCTACAGTGAATTTACTGAAACCTTCCCATGTCTCACAGGCTGGTTAACTTGTCCTGTGTTAGAACTGGAGCAGCTTGTTGCAAACAGTTTAAAATCCTAGCCTTAATAAAAGCTAAACAACGAAACTCACGTTGCCCTAAAATTCTACTTGTATCTATTCTGAGTATAGCCTTGTGTGCAACAATTCAACCTTGCTTCTCTTCTCGGTTGCATTAGCAATAATGAATCAAGAGTGTCACCGTATTCAAGGTGATCCCCTCTTAAAGGAAGCTGCACAATAGCACCTATGTGCTGTGTTATCTCTTAGGACTGAGCTGCAGCTCTTGCTATCTTTGTTAATTTTGGAAATCCCAGAGCTTTCTTTTTAGTGGCTTCTGAAGGAAACCAATAAAAACCTTTCTTTAAGATTTGGGTTGAACAAATCTTCCTGCTCTCTTGTGTTTCCTGACCCAGCTCTTCTCTCCCACACTGCCGAGTTCGTCGGTGTTAACAGCACCTCCCTTGTCCCCTGTACCTGAGTTTTTTGCTGGCAGCATGGCCTTAATCTCATACAGCGTGTACAGTAATGGGTGAGCTATTGGGTCATTGATTTGGGCTGGGGATATGCATCCTGTGACATGCTGACTAATGTGGAGAGCTGAGAACAGTCGTTGATCCCAGGGAGTCATGGAGAGTACTGACAGAGGTGTTCGATACAGCGTGTCGATTTCTGTAGGACTTGCGTAGTAATAAATTGATTTAAATACCTGCACAGCACAAGAGCAGTAACTAGATTAGATATTTTTGCAGACCTGTCTGCTGCCCTTTAAGAAGGACAGAGAATAAAAGGGGAAACAAGTTGGGCTGGAACAGCTTTGGGTTACAGTATACAGAAATATCTGCAATCCAGAGACTAAATGGTAGGATTGTCTGTTACCATTGCTGCAGTTTTGTTGCTGTAGAAAGCTTATATCCTTCTGTGTCTTAGCTTACAAACACTCTTCCATAAATTGGTCTCTCTTTCTTAATAATAGACTTTAATAATTTACCTGTAAATGTCAGTATTCAAGCAAAAAATACTGTGGTTCTTGTGAAGCTGATTTGCAGAAGGCTAGTGGGAAGTTGAAACTTCTTTTATTTTGATAATTCTGGAAATTTGATTTGTGTCAAGTGTTGTAGAAAGCAAAGGTATTGTTCACACACCTGGGGCAAGTAAGTCAGCACCTTTTTCTTGTCAGTAGGTCTGTTGATCAGCAAGCAAGTGTATCATTAGAAAACCTCTCTTTACAGTAGTCCATGCTCCCTGTATATTTTCTGGAGTTCAAGTAGCAGAGACAGATGGAAGCAACGATAAGTTTCTAAGCAAGTTGGAGAAGAAATAATTCCCTGTCATCTGACCTGATTGGTAGATAAAGTTGAACTCGTTCAACTAACAATATGGACTGTGTAAGAAGAAAATAAATAGAGTGAAAAGCACCCGATGGATACAGAGCTGTCTTATACCAGTGACTTCTGTGCAGAGGACAGTGGTGACTTTTGCTCATGCTTGGAGAATTCCTCTACATATGCATCTTCATTTCATACCCCTGTTGATGGTGGTTTTGGTCTTTCTTTGAACACTCTGCCTAATTCCAGTTTACCATTGCTATGTTCACAATTGCAAGCTGCAGCCAGGCACACTCTAGAAAAGCTGTTGCAGAGCTATGCTAAGAAACTTGTTTAATTCCTCTTGCGAAATGCTTGGATCCAGCTGGCTGGTGCCTTCAAAAGGCCTTCATTTTTAGGAATATTAAATTTAACCGCACACGAAAATAATAAAAAAGCCAAGAATGTTAGAGGATAACTTGATGTTCTTTTTTTTTCTCCCCCTGTCATTAATTCCTGGTTGTACAGTAAACACTGTATTACGTAATATATTCATTCTTTCTGAGGATGACATCTTACTGCAAAGAAGTGCAGTGTAAAAAATAAGTGTCTTGTAAAAAATAATCATTACTGGTGACTCTGAAAATGGCAAGGAGTTGCACGTTGCTGGTGAGCTTTCTAGCTGCAGAAGACTTCTAAGGCTGAACTTTCTGAGGTCTTCATGCTAGTTGGATGTGGTCTGAACTGCAGCCTTTCAGGAGTGTATGGGTGGGTGCAAACTGTTCTCCACTGTATTGCCGATCAGTGATGAGTGCCTGGTGGTCTCATCCAAAGCCGAAACAAAGACTGCGTGCAGCACCTCGTGTAGTGCCTGAAGTGCAAAGTAGAGAAATCTTTCCATTTGCTTCGTGGGACACTTAGATCCTCATGTCGGGGATGATGGTTATTTGTAGAGTTGGTGATAAGTCTCACTTCCTACCCACTGTAACACTGAGCTGAACTGTTTAAACATAGTTTATTTGTTGTCTTGTGAAAAATTGGTAGAGTCCTTGGTGGTTCCTTCTTGACCTGAGGAACATGGAAAGAAGTGAGGTGGAAAAAAGCCTAGTCCCGGCACTTGCCGGCGCTGCAGTTTCTGTCTTCCTGGCAAGAAAGAGAACCAAACGACCCCAGTTCCCACCTTTTAGACAAAGTTTATGACTTTAAAAAGTGGACGTGTTTTGGATTGTGTAAGACATTGACTGAGGAATCTTTGTTGTGCTCTGATGAGAGGAAGATTCTCTCTGAGCAGCTACCTGTTGTAGCTGTACAGGAGCTTGAGTAGCCTCATTCATTGCAGCTTCGTATGAGTCTATTGCATTCAAAATGATGGTTCAAGTGATGGAAAATCAATAGGGATATTAATTAGTATTTCCTATCTGTTTCTGAGCAGATTCTCTTTGCATCATCCCTCTTAGAAAGACAGATCAGAAACAGCATTTATGCCTAGGCTTCTGCTGTCAGGTTGATGAAAATTTAAAGTGTTTCCTTGCCTCCTGCCCTCTAGCTGTTAACTCTCCCACCCTGAAGCTGTTCACCACCAACTTTTCCATTCTTGATCCAGAAGCTTCTTTAAAAGGTTTGGGAGGAAGGAAAATGAGGGAGATATTTTGGAAGGGAAGGGAACTGCTCTTGCTTGGAAGGGGAAAAATGCATTGTTCTTGCTGCACAGTTTTCTTTCTTTAGAAGTCTCAGTTGTGAGAAGGTGATTTGGATACGTAGTCATGGAGGAGATTATGCCAGTGGATTTTTATGTGGGGTTTTTGTTGGTTTTTTTTTCAAGGTACTAGGCCATTCTCTTTCTGATTTTCAGCTTTGTACTCTGAAAATACTAACATGTTTCAAATGTCTTTTCACATGCTCTGCTGAGAAAAGGAAAGTGAAAAATCAAAAGAAACTATCAAGTCCTAGTAATCTTTTCTCATTGTGGCTACAGGGTGAGACACAAGGTTGAAATGGTCTATTTGCACCTGAAGTCACAAGCCAATACCTGTGTTTTTCCTATTTGAAAAATAATTTTGTCTTACGGTTCTTGGAAGAGCCTCATAAACAGGCAAAATTAACTGAAAATTTGTCATTCAAGTGCTGACTGGTGTCCTGTACACAGGTATTTGCACTGTGAAACAGTGGTGGACTTCTGAAGGCAAAACAGGGAAGCTCAGCCCTCAGAAAGTTGCTTTGAGATGTACAGTGAATAGAAACGTAACGGAGAAGATATGTCCCCACTTCTCTTTGCCACCCGTCTCATGTCTTCCAGCCACTGCAGGGATTTCTTTCAGATGAGCGTTTGTTCAAGATCCATCTTGCCTACACCTTTACTTTTGGAAGGAAGTGTCGGTGAAGAGAGACCATCACAGCCCAAGACAACAAAAAGGAACTTTTAAGTCTAAATCCAATGCAAACTCTTTGGACAGGGTGGTGTCTGTCTTTACCTATGTTTTCCCCTTGGAAAATGTTGGTCTTTTGTTACAAGTGGCCGTCTTCATGTTTCCGTACATGGGAAAACACAAATCCAAATGCTGTTACTGTTTCATTTGCTAATTTTTTATGTAAAACCTTTTTTTTAATATAAAACAAAAGATTATACAAGTTTTATACAAGTCAATGAGTCATTATCACCTAATGACCTAATATTTGCAGTAGATACTGTATCAACTTTCTGTTAAAATAGAAAAATAGCTGTCTTTTTGGGTAAAATGGCAAACAACTCTATTCTCATCTATACACAGGCTTCTCAAGAAAAGTTTTTCTTTAAAAAAATCTCTGGATTATATCCAGAGGTATTTAATAGGGAACAAGAAATACTTGGTCTCTCTTTGATTTCAAGTTTCATTTCTGACTTTCTGCCAGTAACAGGGCTGGTGCAGAGAATGAGTGAATGCCAAGCCTGGAATACAAACAAAAGAGGATCTGCTAAAAGTCCTTGTTTCTTGTTGTTTGCTTTTATTATGTCAAAGATTAGAAAGAGGAAAACATAGACGTTGTCTGGGTCAAACTGAACTGCAGCACAGGGACAGAGCTCTCTCAGAATATTGTTGAGAAGCCTAAATGTCCCTCAGATTGTTGTCTGGATTGTTGGAGTCTGCTGTTGGATACCAGTCTTTGGTAAATCCACTAAAGGAGAATGCAGAGTTGTTTTGTTGGAATGACCAGAGAAGTTTTGAACATTTAAAGTTGAAAGATTGTGCCGTACTGAAAGCTATCTCTTGGCTTCAGTATTTCTCTTTTCTTCTTGCAACTGCTTCATTTTTAAGTTCCTATCTGTAGCAGCTCATCTGCTTTGTGTCAGAATTCTTGGACACAAACCCTTCATGTTCATCCAGATCTTTATTTCTGGTAGTGGAGCCGTTCTGTGCCATGGGAAGCCCACTTAGGCTACATCAAGACTTTTCCAATCTGTTAAGGGATCTTCACAGTTACACGTTCAGTAAAACGTGATGCCTGAGTGTGCAGCAGTTCCTTGTAAAGTGTGGAAGGTTCTACATCAGCTACCATGATTGTTCCTGTGAAGCTAACAAAATTGTTTTTTCTTACTATGACTTCCTGTTTTGGGAAATTTGTGTTAAGATTTTGATTTTAAAACTATTTATTTATTTTATGTCTTTCTCTGTGCATAGATATTGGAACTCTTTGTGCATGTGCTGATGATATACTGGTGTGAGATGTGGGAGACTGGGAAAGTGTTGGCATTGTACATACCCAGCGAGAGGCTGGGTGATTCGCTTTGGGGGTCCTGGTGCAACTTTTTGAATGCTGAGTTAATACTTTGTGATGGAAATCCAAGCAACTCTGATGCGGAGTTATAAGGACCTGAGTGTAGCTTAATGTTCTGTACCCCACATAGCTTCTGCAGTTGACCTCTAGCTGTGTTCAGGTAAGAGATACTCTACAAATAAATTGACCTTGTTCTAAATTGACAGACTCCTTTGCTTCACAGGGGAGGCCATTTCTGGATTCACTTCAAATGAGAGAGCCGTAGCCCGTTCACAGATCAGCTTTAGGAGACACTTACTTCTAGGAGACACTTACTTCCTTTCCGTTACTCAGTGAAGATCTCTTCATTGCCCTGCTGACAGTCTTTTTGAGTTTGCCATTCCTGTGCCCTCTGTCTGTCTGAGTACCTGAGCCTGTAAATGGAGATCTGGAGAGTAGTAACTGAAATAGATTTGATGCTGAGAAATTTCCTTGTTTTATAAATTTCCTGTTAAACTTTGTTATACTGTGTAAAACCTACTGCTTGGACGATCTTTTAATACAGCACTGTGAAGTTCCGGACAGAAGGCATAAAAAACCCAAGACTCCCTCTGGAAATACTTACAGTACCATGAGCCTACTTAGAGGAATGTGAGCCAAAGTACTAAGTGAAACATACCTAACCCAAGGAGGTCAGGATAGTCCTCAATGGTGAGTTGAGCATCAGGAAGATTTGGGAAGGTGCACAAGGAGCTAGGAGAGGGAGAGATTGTTCCCTCCCTGGAGGGCAGTGAAGGGGATGGAGGCCACAGCCAGAATGAATGTATGTATGAGGGGAGGGATTACTATGTCCGGGATAGGGACTGAGTCAAGATGAAAGTATAGGGAGCTTGAAGTCAAGGTAAAACTGGAGACTGATCAAAGTGGAGGATTGGTCACTACAGCAGGAAAGGAAAAGCCGGTACCTGTGTCAGTAACAGCACAGGACATTTGCTGTCAGATCTCTGCTCAGGTCATGTTTCAAAGCTGTGACTTGTTCAGCCTGGTTACGGTGCGTACTTACCTGCTGCTGCACCAGGGTGCTGGCTGGCTGCGACGTGTTCATCCTCTCAGTGTGCTCAAGAAGGTGCCCACTGTGGTAGCTCCCTCCCTATCTTTAAGCTGAGACATAGAGGGGCTAAAAGAGCTGTCACTACACTTGAGATATGTTAAATACTCAAGTACAGTTTCATGATGAGCAAGTTGAAGCTAATGCCTTTCTTACTGGATCATCCAAGCTTCCCAAGGTGTCTTTTGATGCTGCACAAAAGGGCATGGATGCATAGACACATGCAGGTGTCTACAGTGCATTAGGTAACAGGTCACTCTATCTCTTGCCAGAAAGCAAACAAAAAAAAAAAATCTGTTCTGTATTTGAAAACTGACTGCTTGAGACTCTGGAAATACTGGGGACAGGCAGGAGACTCGTGAAAACTGTTCTCTGTATGTTCAGGGTGTTGATGACTTGAAATGAACCCAAGTTCCACTCCAGTGAGCCGAAGGGGCCTTTTATCCAGGCTGCACTGCAAGGGTGAGACAACACCTGGGTCTGACAGGCTTGATGACTGACCGCACCAAAGGCTCTGTCCCTTACTTTTCCCAAGTGGCAGCAAGGTTGAGCATATCTTTGAGGAATTCACTCTTAGTGTTCTGCAGGGATTATTAAATACATCAAACACATGTATTGCCGCTGAAGGGTGCCTCATGCCCTGTGAAGGACAGCTGCTTATGTGCTGTGGGTGATGCAGTGGGTTCATTAAACCCCAATTCTGGATCCTCTTAGCCTCAAAAGAATAACCCCCTTTGAGCAAGCTATCAGTTCAGACTATGCCATGGGCAGAAAGCAATAGTTTGTCAATTTTAGGAGGAGTGGAGGGAAAAATTCTTCTTCCCCAGTCAGTGTCTAGAGCAAAATCCCTTGCCGGGAACAGGTGGTGCCATTCTCTTCCCTCCAGCTCAGCATCTAGCAAAATGCATGTCCTGAGACCACTTCATCATACTCCTAACTATGTTTCAGGGTATGTTTTTCTTCTCTGAAGTAACCAACTAAAGGGAAGAAGGACTTTATGGAAGTCTATTACTTACAAGTATTTACTACGCATTTGCGTGAATGAATTTAAAGAAATGAGTAGAAACATCAAGATGGATGTGGGAAGTTGGGAAAACAAAGGCAGGTGCTAACTTTGGAAATTTATGTCTGATTTTGGATACGGTAAGATGGATGCTTGTTTGTCCCATTGATTTTCTGGGGTCAGGTTGGGGCAATGGTGAAGGAACTCAGCTTCTGTTCTGAGAAAGAGAAGGAAGTTATGTTGCATTTGCAAGGGCAATACCTGGCAGCTCTGTCTGTGTTCATGGCCAGGATGCAGTAGTGCAGTCATGACCTCAGTGAATGGCGAGTTGAGTTCCCAAGATGAAGATCCATGAGAACATTAACTTTTCTTTGTTCTTGTAGTCAGGAATAGAGTGTGTGAACTTAGAGAAGATAGATGCTTTCAAAACTCAGTGAAGACACAGCAAAACAGCAGTCTCTTCAGCTCCGCCAGGAAAAATTCTAGCCCTTATCGTCCAGCTTTTAACACCATCTTCATCCCAGCTAGAGGACAGCAATAATAACAACATCAAAGAACCCAGATGTATTTCTGAGTGTAGTTCAGACAGTTGGGATGTTCACGTGCAGTAATTCAGTGCAAGGCTTGACCCCAAGATAGCAGTCTGTCATCTGTCTTCTCCTAATTGCTTTTCTCAGCCCTGCTCACAGCTGTTATTGTGGCACTTTGCCACTGACTCCCTTCTGAGTTGGTGTGGTTGCAGCGCAGGTTTCAGTGCTGATGGTGAGTCCGTAGGAGAAATTTGCTGTCTTAAAACAGTTAGCTGTCATGTTTGTGCTTGTTTCATTGTCAGTGTCTAGACTGTCTGGTGACTTGCTGCATTGCCAATGTCCGTTTGCCTCCCCTTGAAGAGAAGCTGGACATGGAGATTTTTGACATTGCCTATTCTCTTTCTCACCTCTTTATTTTTCCACTCTCTTCAGCCAACCTAGTTCCATTTTTAATTTTTTTTTTCTTTTTGCTATGTATTTCTTTTGCAGGAGTATATTGATGCTCATCCAGAAACCATTATCCTGGACCCTCTACCAGCTATTCGTACACTTCTGGACCGATCCAAGTCTTATGAGCTAATTCGGCAAATAGAGGCATACATGCAAGGTAGGCCAATACCTGCTCTCCCTGAAGGCGTTTATTGTAACTAGAGAAGGAAGCAGCTGGTTTCTGGAAGCTGGATGTGAGATTTCAAGCAGTGGTTTTGGGCCCCTTGTGTTCTGTCTCTCCATGGGAGCACAAACACTGAAGCATTCCTGTGTCACAGGATTGCCCTCAGGAATGCTGTGCTCTTCTTTTTCCATGTACACAAAGGAGGTTTGCATCTGGTTAAAAATACGGTGTGGATTTAATGAGGAGCATATTTACCACAGTGAGCACTCCCAGAAATCTTCTGGAAGACATTGTCTTTTCTTGTGTACTGGGAAATTGAAATGACTGTTCAAACTTAGCAGCTTGTCATAAGAATCCTGAGGCCTGAATTTGGGGGAGGCTTATGGAAGAGGGAAAATTGGTTTTGGAAAGGACTGAAAGAAATTAAATTGTAAATAGAGCTAAGATCTTTGAGAGGCACTGGAAACGTATTGCACAAGTTGATTGCTAGGAAATAGATAAATGCACTTCTGGTGTTATCTGACATAGACTATTGACTTTAATTAGCATCATATGTGTTGTATTCACAGACCTAGAAGTCGTGCCTTTTCAACCTGAACAATTCTAGCAGCTTACCGTTTTGACCACTGTAACTGTTGTGTTACATTAGTCTTTCACTCCCTATAAACTCTCTTATTCTTGAAACATTTAGCTCTTGAAGTCATTTTTTTGACTGCACTCGGGAACAACTGCATTGCTGAACTTCTTTCTAATGGGGTGTTACCATTGTGATTGTGTTATCACTATCTTGTTGGGCAGATAAGAAGCTCATTGATTTGTATTTTTAGAATTGTGGATTTATAGACATACTATTTGTATCTGACCTGCTTGGCCTGTTGTTGGTGTCTTTATGTAAAAATAAGACTAATAATTTGCAGCACTCTCCCATGTCTTTTGGAATTTCTTTAGGAGAAAATATTCAATTAGTTTAAAAGGATTTTGTTTTGCAATGGTTATTGCTGTTTGTGATAGGGAAAGAGGTGCTGGGGGAAACCTGTGCTCTAAGGAAGTGGTTAGGATTTTGTTATAGCAGCAGAGAGTTTCAGTATGGTTTGGGATTTGTGTTATTTTTTTTCCCCTTAAATTACTGTCAATATATGAGAACAATATGTTTGGAAGAGCATCCAGTTTTTGCAAGTAGTTTATCTTGCACATATTTCACCTTCCTGAGGTCAAACTGGTGAGAAAAAGGAATAAATGCTTAAGGAGGAAAAAGAAAAAAGTAGGTTTGTATTCAGTTAAAACTGATACTTTAAATAGAAGCTGTTAATAAAGTGAAGAGTGAAGTAAGGAAAAGCTTCACCTGTTCCCACTGGCTGCTGCAGTGTCAGGTGACCGTATTGTCCCTGTCCCTGTGTCTGTCTTACCCACTCCACCTGCACGCTCCCCCCCCATCTCATCTTATTTTTGTCTAGCTATCAGAAGTACCATGACAGAGACCTTGAACCAACTTTGTATTTAGTAGGGAAATCTCAGGAGAGCTGACTAATTGGCTAACTTACCATTCTGGCTTAAGTAGATCAGCCTCTATAGTCCTGCACATAATGACCTTCAGCAAATAAAAAAAGTTACATCCCTCTGGACAGTATTGTGGGGTTCTTCCCTTTCCTTGTTTTCACCTGCTAAATTGGGTTTTCTGCTTTGCATCTGTCATGTCATATCCCAAGGCCATGAGCACTTAGAAAACTCAAACAAGAAGTAATATGTCATCTGTGAATAGCGTGAGGTCTTAGGAACTACATCTTTTTTTACTCTGGAATTTCAAAATGAAAGTCACTATGAAGAAAATAATATCCTAGTCATTAGCTGTAACTGGAGGGCCCAGTTTACCACAGGATATAAAATTGATGTGATGGGTTAAGATCAGTGCAAGGATTTATCTTTTCCAAAGGAATGCCCATAAACCCTGGGAAGTTGATATGTGTGTGAGGAGAAATCTTCCACTGTTGAAAGTCTTTCAAAAGAAAATTTAGTTTCTGTTTATGGACCACTTTGGAATTCAAGTGATCTCTACCTCTATTTGACTTAGGTTTTAAAGTAGCCATAAATGAAATATAGTCTTTACTTACAATCTTCAGTTTACACTTCTTTTCAACTCTGTAGATGTTACAAGAACTGTGTAACTGAGTTTTGCACTGGTGGGGTAAGAGGGAGGATGGTGACATGCTCTGCTGACTCCCATTTGTACGGTGCTGAATCTTGCTCCCTCTCTGTTGCCTGCACCTTTGAAAATGGCAGATGTTGCTGAGGTGGCTGCGTTCTGCAGCAGGAGGGCCACATGTTCTATAAACAACTTGATTTTGTATGTAACCATCTTTCAGATGTCCAAGTTAATGCCTTGCCTGTCCTTTTGATAGTGAATTCTCTGTGCTCCCTGAGAAAGGGAATCCCGATTTGAAGTGTCTGAAACTGGCCATCTGGACATCATTAGGCTTTCTTTAAGTCCTGTAGCGTGCTCTTTGAGTCAAGCGTCTGCGTGTTAAGTGCTTTGATCAAGCCTCCTGAGAGGTTGGAAAGATGCTTTGTGGCACACTCCTCATCTCTGCTATCACAGACTGTGGCCACTAAAGAACCCAGGTGAAGGAGGACTAGTAAATAGGAAAGAGATGTACGTGTACTCTGAGGGAAAGCACGGAGTTGAACCTGGACTTCCCATGTCCGAGACTGACACTGTCACCACTCAGTCCTGGCGGAAATGCAAGGCTCACAGATTTGCAGAATCACTGAGTCTGGAAGAGACGTCTCAAGATCATTTTGTCCAACTCCCAGCTCAAGACAGGATCCTCTAGAGGTTCCCTGGATCCGTGTCCGGTTGGGTTTTGTGTATCTTCACAGGTGGAGGCTGCATAACCTCTCTGGGCAACCCAAAATAAAAGAAAAAAAAAAGCTTTAATAGATACTTTAAAATTGATTTTCATGGATTCTTTTGTGGAAGCAATAGTCTGGCCAGGGCTGTGACTTCCTCTTTTTCCTGTTCCCTGTTATTTTGAGTGCAAGCTCTAAAAGAGCTTATTAGTTCTGAAACCTTCTCTTCTCAGTCTTTTTAAAATTATTTGAAAAAATAATTGTGTTGTACACAGGTGGCAGGTCTATCTTGAAATAAATCATTGAATAGATTTTTCTATATAGCAGTTGATTTCTCTCAGCGGCTGTATTGCTTTGTTTACATATCTGTGAGGAATTGCTTCTGATACGGAAGTGCTCTAGATCAGGTTCTGTAATGTTTGTTGAAAGATTAGGAACATTTTTTAATGGAAAACTTCATTTTTAGCAGGGTATGAACAGATCATGGCATTCTGTTTTCCCTGGATTTCTTTTTATCCGATTCTGTCTCTCTGTCTTACAAATACTCCCTGAACAGCTACATACATATTTTGTGACTAGGAGAGAGGCTCAGCGTGGTGTAGCAGGTAAGGCACTTGATTTGGGGCTCAGGGTTTTCTGCTTGGCACTGGTTTTGACTTGCTGTGTGACTTTGGGCACAGCATGTCACTCCTGTGCATCTGACTTTTCTCTTGACACTCATCTGCCCATCTCTTCCCTTTAGATGCCTCATTTTTCTGAGCAGGGACCTCTACCATATATCTATAATACGCTGATATAGGGAGTCTCACCTGCAATCTGTGTAGGTATTGTTTTAACAGAAATTGTAGATCTGTTGTTGAGTAGAAAACTGGATATTTAAAATTCAACGCCAAAGTAGGTAGTCAGGTTTTATTTTTTGGAAATTATGGAGTATTGCTGGAGTGGTGCATACTCAGAACTTCTCAAAATCAGGCCACCCAGTTAGAAGTGCCTAGAAATAGCTGTATTATGTAGCTCTAGGCATTCACCTTTTGAAACTGTGGCCTCTGCTTTCTGTGGCCTATTTTTTGCAGTAGTTTTGATCAGAGGGGAGGGAGAATAACAGTCACACAGGTCAACTTCAGACACCTCTATCTGTATTTGAAGCTCCTATTAAAGTGAAAGGAAAAATCTGGTTTTAATTTAAAGGCTCTAAATCACCCACCTGAGGCTCCCTTGTTTGTGTAGGGACATACTAGTAAAGCATCTATGTTAGAGGGCTGATGTTAGCTACTGCAATAACTGTGCCAGTTTTCCGATCCAAAAGTCTCCCTTGTTGATTGTGTGTTCTCTTTCCACCAAGAACACACACAAACTGATGTCTCACTACCTCACTCCAAGTGTGGTGCCTCTTCACTTGCTACGTGGTGATTTCGGTCTGAAAACTGGTGTACGTGTGTGGAGGGAGGTAACTGGAATGGAACTAATATTCTTTGTGACAGGAAGAAGTTTGTCCGAAGTGCCTCACTACCCGGCAGTGTTGCACGTGGCGATGCTCTTGTTCCCTGGCTGCCAGCGCTTGGTAGGTCTCAGCACTGCTCAGTCAAACCGGAAAGACTCTGGACTTTCAACCCAGGGAAGTTTCTCCTGACATCCTTCTCATAAAACCTCATTCATTCATTTAGGACAGGGTTGACAAAGGGACGCAGACATGTTGGTGTTATAACAAACAAGCCCTGGCTTTGAAATTTAAAGTAGAGAGCTGCTTTCAAAGGACTAATCCTGACCTGAGAAAGGTGACAAGAAAAGAAAGCGGGAGGCTCCAAAGGGAATGTGAAATCTCCTCTCTTGTACTATTGCTTGCTCTTGTTAAGGCTGTTTACAAAAGGCTTTTCTAAGGTAAGAATGCTGGAAGTTAGCAATTTCATAAACTGAAAATAGGAACAGACTCTCCTTTCCCTTCCTGCCTCTGTACCCCTTCCCAGGTTTTATTTCGAGCTGTCAGCTCTGTCCCAGCTTAAGCAGGAGAGCCGGGGCCCCTTTGGAAATGATGGGCACAGTCCCTGTTCTCCCAGCCAGGAGCGGCAGTCTGCTTCTGGCCTGCTGAGATACATCAGCCTGGTGGTGTTCAGGCTGACTCTCCAGTCCAACAGACACAAAGCCCCAAAAAT